TGGTGGAGCTCCTTTACTGCACTTCCACCCATTCCGCCATCTTGTTTGTTCTCTGTAGTGCTTTTAGAAGGTAATTCTTGCCACTCTTTTCCCATCCCCTGTTTCTGACATCCTTTAATGTTCAGGTCAAGTTCTATGTTCCACAGCAGCAACGGCACTGCTGTTCTGTAATGTAAATACATTGGCAGAGGAACCCGTTTTTCTAGACCCACAACGGTTTCAATGTTTGGCTTATTTTTGTTTTTAGGCAATGCAAGGAAAAGAATTTTAGCACTTTTGATCAATAGTTTTCACTGAAATTTTCAGTCAGGGGGGTTTCACATTAGTTCTGATGCAAGATCACTGACAAACATTCAACATATTATCATGAGCTTTTAAGTAAAACTCTTTAGAAAACAAAAAAAGAATTTGAGGTAAAATTACAAAAAAAAAAAAAAAAATCACCACTACTACTAATAGCCATCTATACTAAACACTATGTATATAACAATGGTCTATGATTTTTTGATGCCTTAGCTTAATTACCCTAACAGTTCTAGGAAGTGGGCACCATTTTCCTACTTTATAGATAAGGAAACTGAGGCACAGAGTCATTAAGTACACCCATGAGAGGTGGATTTATATTTAAAATCAAGCAGTGTGGCTTCAGAATCCATCCTCTTAATAACTTTGCCACAGGACAGCTCACAATAACAAGAATGGTGGAGAAAGTGTATTAATCTACGTACAATCAGAAGATAAAAAATCATACAGTGGTTTAAGTAGGAGAAATTTAATATAAAGTGATAAAACTATGATAAAATTGTTGTTGTTAAATGCTGTTTAGTCAGTTCTAACTCATAGTGACCCTGTATATGGTTTCCAAGGAGCTACTGGTAACCTTGAACCACCAACCTTGCAGCTCAAACCAATCTTGTAGTCCAGCTCATTAAACCACACCAGGACTCCAATATTCATATTAATGTCAAATGCTGTTGTTGTTGTTGTTGTTAAGTGCCATTGAGTCGATTCTAATCCATGGTGACCCTGTATATGGTTTCCAAGGAGCAGTTGGTGAGTTTGAACCACTGACCTTGTGATTCAAACTGACTTTGCAGTCCAGCGCATTAATCTGCAGCGCTACACCAGGACCCCAATATAATGTTAAATATTAGAGAACTCTGTATGGCAGCTTAGAGATTTGGTAGCATAGTGATTACAAGTCAGTCTGCTAACCTCAAGTTATTTATATTGGTCGGATTGCTAACTTCAAGGTCAGTAATTTGAAACTACCAGTTGTTCCACGAGAGAAAGATGAGGCTTTCTGCCCCTGTAAAGATTTACA